TTTCTTTATTTTTTTTCTGGATTTGAGCAAATTGTAAGGATATGCTGCGCCGGTTTGGGTACTAAACGCAACAATTTGGGATCAATATAAACCATACTGAATGCGATCGATGGGCAAACTTGCACAGATTGGCAGAAAGCCACCAGTAGGCCTAAGCACGATGGCATAAAGAGAGAATCGATATCAGTCACTGAGGTACAGAAGTCGTGAAACAGCCGCTTCAGGTTTCTAAGTAAAGCAGACTCCATACTAGATATGCCATCATGTAAGTAAATCCGAAAGTTATTCGGGTATGTAACGTCTATGTGACCGCCACTTAAGATCTCACCGCAAACGAATGCCGTTCACTTTATCACATGTTAACTCGAAACACTGGATACGATGAGCGCTGCACACTGTAATAGGTATGCTCCTTGAATAAAAGCTGAAGTTAAGTGGCTTTCCCAAATTTTCAGCATAAAAACGGTTAATTTAATTTTTGGTGGTTTAGATGGGCTTCCGTTTGGGTGGTTGCGCGCTGCCGAAACTGATTAATCTCCTTGGATGCCCGTCGAAAATGAGTTTATTTTTATAGACCTTCGCTTCCTGTAGTATGGATATTTTCATGCGTTCTTAGACCAGATTAGTGCGGAAACAGATCTTGAAGGAGAACTGGATAGCAATTTTCAGTAGTCAACTGCGATGTTCAAGTGATATTTACAATTGTAAACAAGTAAGCTAGTTTCGATAGAAACTCAGTATCCTACAGGATTGCCTGCATTTTTGGCGGGGAACGTTGTTTTGTTATACTTAAACACAAGGTTGCATACCTTCCAAACACGATTTCGGTGCTCATAAGTACCAGAGCCGTTTGGCGCAAAGAAGTTGGGGAAGGCCCACAGCAAACCCGTGTTCGGCCTGTGGAAATAACAAAACCTAAGCGATGAGGCCAGCACCGCTGGTGTACTAGTGTCACGTAGCTACCGATAACTCACTGGTCGAACAATCCTCCAAAACAAACACTCGAGCGCCGCCACCTGGCATCTGAGTCTCAAGAAGGGAGGAAACGTTTGTAGGCTACCCGCAGCTTTCAACGCCCATACCGGCGGTGTGAAAACCTATCTGAATTTTACATCGCAAGCATTTTTGTAGTCCGTGTCCCATTTTCCGCGATTTTATTGCATCTTGCTTGATGCACGTATTGATGGGCTACACTTTGTCTGAGGGATGGCCCAAATAGGAAGGTTTGGTTAGTACCGGACAGATTATGCGTTCGTACATGTGCGGAAACACAGAGGACAGTGAAGTTGCAAGTACAATATACAACGGATAACGCCAGGAAACTAAAGCAACTTTCCATTTAAAAATATGTGCTATGATAGATAATGTTAAAACAACCCAAGACTATGTCCACTTATCCGCATAGAGACATTACGTGGATGTTCCTTTCTTACTGCCTCATCCCGTTCCCTGGTGGTTTGGGACCAGCCGTTTAACTGAACTAAACTCTGTGTGTGAACAGGGTGCCGAGGACAAGTTGGGATGATGATTGACTGAACATTAATTGAAGCTCCTTGTAACCAAGATTAGCAAAACAAATGGCTTAGAACCCATAAGATAATCCTTCCGGCGTTGAACAATTGGATCCCTTTTGAGTATTGTTCTGCTATGTTGCTATGCAGGCCACATTTCCCAAGTGCATTATTAAGAGGAAAACACGGTTGTGTTGGCATAACTTTTCCTACAACGGAGGAAATATTCTGGCTTCTTAACTGCTAATGCATTTCCGAAGCGACAAAAGAGACCCTTCTTCACTTTTTCTCCCGGTACAGCGACGACCACAGCAAGTGAGTTCTTATCAAAAAGATTCCACAAACAGCACAGGCAAGTGACAAGAGATTAACCAAGAAAATATTGAGCGGTTACATCTAAATTTCACAATACATCCCTTTATTTTGTGCTGAAATTGATCGGTTTGAATCAGAATTGGAATGCTAGAATAAAAAACCGATCAGATGTGAAAATTATTGAGAAGAATTCCAAATGTTACTCAAACCTGCATTTACAAGCAAGAAAATGCACATAAGCGTGGCAAAATCTGTCGGGAGGAGTTGTGAAGGTTTACCTCTGAAACGGTATGCATCCATATGCGACTGTATGGCTTATTTGCATAGATCTGCTGCGAAACTTAGTCGATTACTACTATGATATCGGTTTTGCATCCTTGATTAATGAAAGGAAAATAAATGACGCAGTACTGTCTGGACTTGCGTGGATGTCAATAATATTTATTCCTCCCTGAGGAAAACTACCAAAATATCAAACCCGATCGCACACAGACGCCAGTATTGTCTCATCGATGTTTCGTNAGACCATCTCTACGCATCGGGTCAGCAAGTTAGCAGGCTGTTTAGCTAATAGACGGGAAACCTGTATAATATTATTGACATGATGAAACACCATTTTGCCTTGAGCGCACCAGTATCCAGAGCATTACTACATTTGCATATATACTTATAACGGGGTGCTTATTTTGCGGGCAATCTAACGTTTCAAAAGCGACGCATCAGCCTGCTTATAAAATATCGAAAGGGTTTCACGATTCGCATTTTTACTGAATCGCAATAACTGAATCTGATAAGTTCACAAGTGGTTGTTAAAACATCACGTTTGATGGCTGTTTGCGTCGATGTTTGTGACATCATTAAACAAAGGGTCAGATTCTGTACCTGAACAACATGCGAAATCTACGCTGTTTCTCCATTTTATGTAGTCTGTTTGCGCACTGCTATTTGTTCTCTGCGGGAATCACCACTGATGGTACTTTCGTGTCATTAAGTTTGAGATTCCAGAAAGTAGCCAACTCTTTTGCACTTTCTCGAATCAAACTAGAACGGGTTTTAGGCTTTCGTCTATATACAGAATGAGTTCTTATTGTGGTCCGGTACCCAGTCCAACTTTAAATGTTTCAAAAACCAGTTGTAATCCACATTTTCCTCGGCAACCCGACTCTCAGCGGCGACTAGTATTCTGACACTTGTTAAGTTAATCTACTGGTAACTCAGTATGCAAATGCATTTCAAACCATAGGTATCTTTTTCCATCAAAATATCACACAAGCCCAACACTGAAAGATGTTTTACGTTTAACGCCACGTGAGGCACTTACGGAGAATGCTGATCAAATCCATGGCCTTGCCATGGGGAATCCTCTGGCGTCTATAATTCTCCACTGAATCATATGCATTTCAAGGATAAAAGTATAGTCATCCAGAAATCACAGAAAGAAACGCAAAAGCATTTTCGGGCTGTCGAACTTTCTGCACGCTAACATACTTCTTGGTTTAAAATAAGAACTGAACAAGCTGCCCGTTTTTTTTGCTATTCCGATACTATCCAGAACCAGTGAAACCATTTTAGGCTCATTGTTTTGTAAGCACACTCAAACAAGACCAGCAGCAGCTTTGTATCGATGCTATGTAGGAGTGACCTGGTCAAAATGTTAAACAACTGAGTCCGATAAACTCGCATTTTTGTACACATTTGTACTTCAAGTGGGGCACAAACTCTATGTGCACATTCGTGGATCTAATGCCCCCTAGGGAACTAGAAGATAGGGGAACAACAATACTGCCTTACCTCTTGGCATTCTTATTAAACCGAAGTTCAAAGGAGACGTCGGCCAAGACAATGTTCTCTGAATATCACAATGCAGGGAACCTACCACAGAGCCAGGCTGGTTCTTTTCATCATCATCGTCATCATCATCGACAGTATGACATCAGGGTTCAACATCGATGCGTCACTACCGTACATCCATGATTCTGGTACATTTACACACAAAAAATCATTTTTCAATGCCGTCAGTCAAAATTTCATTACCAGCATCCTCCACATCCCAGAACATCTAGCAATTCATGTGTAGGTGCACAATCACCAGCACGAATGGAACTGAAGAGCAACTAGGACAGCTGATGGGAATACGTGCAGCTGAGAATATGAAGGCACATGGACCAATCAGATGAACCGACGCAGCCAAACGCGATCATAACCAACACTGTCAACCTGATCCCTAGTAGGTTATCTAAAATTCCAAAGCTTGCTTATGCCGTTTTCTTTCGCAGATGAAAGCCACCTCTATGCAAGCATAAACACCATTTTTTGTTAGCACCACCTTGATCAACTACTGAAAAGCAATTTGACGTAGTTATTTCTTTACTTTCATAATCTGTTCATTGTTAAGAGCTGCTGTGCGCGACTAAAGAGTCAATGGATCTTTCCCTGTTGTGTTTCATCTTTGCGTATCATGCAGGTCTATTGGGTTATGAAAGAATGTGAATAGCGCTGGAACTCCCAGTGATCTAACTGTTATTACGCAGCTCTTTTCAAATCCCATTAAGTCTTTTCACTCACCCATGGTGTCAGTCAATCAGCTAGGACTAGATACTTATTGGCTTTTCGAGGTTAGCATTTAAGTATAGGTAGTGACGTGCGCAACAGTGAAACTGTTTCACTGGATGCACACTTGTGGGACAATTTCATCAATCAACTTTTCAAGCAATGAAACGTTCAGAAGAATATCTGTTGAACGATCATGTCACTAATAAGTAGTCAGGATGCACCATGTAGCCTTGGTAACAAAAAAACAAAAATGATCTGCGTCATTAGAATAGCACCTCCTACCAGCCGATTGTTCATATTCCTTTTGCATTTCAAAAATGTGAGACAGAAGTACAATGTTAACACAGTCGGTGAAACCAAAAATGGAGCACTCAAATTCAAGTGAACAATTCGGAACATTTCATGCACTCACGAAGTAACGGAAAATGAACATTCTCAGTAGGGAACTCCATAATGAAAATAATTTTGATGAGATCTACATGCGCTCCGTCGAAGAGAAATTGCTGGAATTCCCAACGCTAAAAAATTATTTCCTGTCTTTGACGCTGTCTACTAACATTTTAATTTAATAAGTAACAAACTACTAAACTTATATACTGCTATTATGCATTGGAAAGAAAATCAATCTGACTTCCACACTTCAGCTTTTTATTGCGGTTTTGTTGTTCACTCTCACAATACACTCAGTGCAGTGTATTTACCGAGATGATAAATTATTTTTTGCAACAAAGACAGGTGTTGAAAACATAGCTAGTTAGGTGTCTATTTTACTCGAGTGCCAGTGGAAAATAATAATCCACTATGAAGTTTCTGTCTAATGGCGTTGTCAGATATAATAAACTCTCTACTAAATGTACCCACAAAATGGTTGTTTTGCAGACACATTTGCAATTTTCAGTAAGTCTTGCAGCTAATTTTACCTTTTAGTTTTCTTGTTCCATCACTATTTGTGTGGAGAAATGTCAATACATCCAAAACGCATAGATTATAAGGCCAGGCGTTACATTGTGTCACTTCTGCAAGTTTTGTTAACAAGTTTAGTTAAGCAGGAACAATAATTTCCCCAACTGTTTTATCCTAGGCTTACAAATAGTCTTATAAGTGAGATATACAGGGGAATATTTTTTTGCAAAATACATTGCGTCGAATTTCAGTTTGTTTAGGCCTATTATCTCTACTTTTGCTTTGCTTTAGTAAAATCAGCTACCCACAAATATCTGTGATATTCACTTCTTCAAGACAACGACAACGATTGCCACTGGCTTTGAGAAAGAACCGTGCGTAGTATTGAAGTAAAATGTGCACTAATGCAACCTTTTAATGCCTGGAGGAAAAAGATCCATACGAGGAAATAAAACAAGTACCTTCACAGGTACGCGCAGCACTCGTCTGGCCGAAAATCGATGAACATTGCTGCATATCCTTCACAACCCGACATAAGAAGCTTACTTATTTATCATTCCTACTGAAGTATCCACCGGCTGAGATTCTAGAGCACCATGAGTTTTTCGATTTGTCGGTAGCTCTAAGTTGAACGGATGAGCCTCTGATTCGCCAATCCCCAGTCCGCTATTATTACCGACCATCAAACGTAAGATGAATAATATAAGCAGCGAAATCTTTCAGTTTATGAACAGGCTTCTTGTAAAGTTGTTATCCAACGGCATCATTCAAGTTTTTCGGATTACTCCGAACTACTGAACATCTGAATACTTTGCAGTCAAGGAACCGGAAGGGGGTGAGTGTTTATTCTTTGATTAACATAATTACATTACAGACTGGCAGTAAAATGCAGTGCACACTTCTAATACATTCTTCGTTGAAAATGCGCACATGAGAAAATTAACTGCGCTAGAAATTGTTTATCAGATTATGGGTAACAATAGCTGACATTCTGTTTGGGTTTTTGGGAACAACTTATAATCTGTGCATTTTCAAGCTTGCGTAGCTTGAAACCTTATGATTAAAAATCAGCCGCAAGATTTTAAAACGTCCAAGCTCAAAAGTGCTTTTTACTTCGTTGTACCGTCAGTTTAGTAAGATAAGAACCAAAGCGTATGGGTTGTTTCTTTTCATTAACTTTACTTTCTTGTAGGCTGGGAGGAACGTAAGTTAAAAATTGCATTGCGTAAACAAGTAAACACACTGTCGATGAGATCCTGGCTTACATCCGTGATTTTTGTTCGTTTGCATCCTTGGTGCCAGGTTATCATGCTAAATCCGTAGGATCTTTGCATCCAGAACCAAGCGCTTATCTCAAGGAGAACCACTTTTAGAAAATGTTTAGGACAACTAGTGCGAATAATCTTTAACGATGGCAATGACAATAGCAGGGGCGTGTAATGATGACTGCTGGTTTTGTGGTTGATTTATTGCTATATCTTAATATGATGACAACCGCAAAGTACATCCTAATTGTATTGCTCCAGGAGATGTTCAAATCACACTCAATAAGTTTCAGCCTTCCAGGTGCACAAAATAATGTCGAAGGCCCACTGCTGTAAGAAACATGTATATTTCTACACAGAGATGAAAGGGCAAAGATTTAATTGAATTAGAGCAGCGCTTGCAAACCACACACTGATGTTGATTTAAACAGAAGTTCCTGACTTTCTTCCAAAATCGTTTTTCGGGGAGATTGCTTATTCAAAGGAGTGACATAAGTAAAATACTCTTAAAACAATTATTTGTCATTAGAGATCTAAGGAAAGAACCGATTGTGAAATCATTTGGGTAATTCCATGGACAAGCAAAAAGTTAGCTTTCTAACGTTATACGTTAATTGTCACAAATAAAATGTGATATCACTATTTTTTGCTCACTTAAGGAGTGTTTGTTTTTTCTCTGTATTTAGGATATCTGAGATAAACAGAGTAGTAACTGATAATTTGTGTCAGCTTGAGCTCCATCATTTAGTTTCCGTAGGTAAAGAAGACCGCCTCAGTAATTACACTCAAATGGGGGAAAGGAATCGGTTTTCTTTCGAGAGCTGTACTCACTAGCAATTGCCCTATAATGTTCTTTGGTTTTGGGGGTTTCCATGCCCATCTCCTTGAATTGTGGGGCCCAGATAGGGCACGCTAGATTTGCCAAGCTACTCGTCTTGTGATCAACATGTCGACCGTTTGCTGCTATCGGATAAGCCGTCGTTGAACTTGAAACTGTTGTCACCGATTTTTCACAGAACCTCTCTGAAACGGAAACTGTTGTCAATTCCTAAAGTAATGTGATCCTGAGTGAAAAGAAACCTGCTATTGCCTCGCATGGCAATAACGCTTCGAACATAAGGCTTTAGTTCATTAAATGCTTGCCATATTGGAAACTGAGAATTATTCTCCGGCAGCCTAGGTTACCTTGGTGCCAAGAACATTGCAGTGTTCTTCACTGAAAGAAAATCATAGTCATTTAGATAATGAGACAATTTCGTTGCATTATATGGTCCACAACAACAAAACCAAAACAGTTGGAGCAGCAGATATACCTATTTGATGTGGGTCTCCTAACTGAAGAATGAATGGCGCTCGAGCTGATCAACATTCTGACCAGCTTCTCGCAGCCAAACGGTTGCGGTTAAACTACTCCCCAAGGAGTCGTTTGTTTTAGAGTCCCGCGTGTTTTGTGAAGTTTGTACTAGTGTTTTTTAATGAAAATCAAACAGATATGAAGTGCTTTTTGGTTTTTCAGCTTTGATAAGCTTCACCTACAGGCCGACAGCTGTGTCAAATACGCCCTTTCTGTATAAAAACAGCTTGCCGATTTTATGAAAGTTATGACTGTTGTTGCCTAAATAAAACTTCTGTTTAAACTTCTACGTTGAGTTTATAACAACGAAATATTCTCCTTTACTTCCTCAAAAATTGCGAGTGTGCCGGAAAAAATGTTTCAGATTCTGGGGTTGTAAATTGCCATAACTAGTCATAACTCTGTGCGGTTCATCAGCTGTGCGCAACCACCCTGTAACTTATGCGTTGTTCATCCGAAACTTGTTCTGGATTCTGGCTATTTACACATCATAAGAAGAAAGGTATTATCGGGCAGATGCAATACTCACGGTGTTACATAAGAAGAGAATTAAAGACATGATTTGCTGGCACTTTTATTTTTCATAAATTTGAGAAAAAGCGCTCACTTATTTGTCTGCATTTTTCTCATTTCAGCTGCATACACCAATCCACGTAAGCCACACATGATTTGGGACACAATAAAAAAATTCAGAAATGCCTCACATCGTTTTACATAGAACAGGGTATCAGCTTCCCCAGCTTTTTAGGAGGGAATTATTTACACACTATTTGGCTACTTCTACCACTGTTGTACCCTGTATCTCATAGCGGCAAAGGTGACTTTAGAAAACCACGCTAGATTTGGACAAATGGGATTGTGCCTGCATTCAAAGTAGTATAAACCATAAGGTTGCTCGGTGCCTTTTTGATATATGGCCTTATTGAAGATTGTCTTCAACATAACCAGATGCTCAGCCAGTTTGATAGGAGATAGGACGCAAAAAATTAAAAATAGCATGTTTGTTTAAATGATGCTCCTGTCGTTGCCTGCATTAAGCATTATCCTATCTGCCGCAACAGAGAAGTGACGAGCACATTTAAGAGAACGGGTCGAGCGATTTATTCAGCTGCACTTCAAGACAACTGTCACATTCATCTGAAGCAAACGCTTTAACTGGATAATTTCAACACAAATTCTACACATATCGCTGGTACCTACAATTTACAGATGGCGATCTATGCATCCACTCAGGTTTAATGTCATGCTGATTGTTTTCCATCTCGATCGGTTTTGAATGGAGTTTTGCAAAATTTGCTAACATTCTCGAGTACACACTCAAGCAATTATCTAACCAGATCATGATTATGATGCTCAGTGATTTCCGTACGCTCTTAGCAATTTAGCCGAGCTCGAGATTAATTAGAGGCACCACATTAACTCAGTGTGATATGCTAACGCACACACATTGATCGACTTCGACCAACTCACAGCCACAACAACCAGGGCTACGGCAGGTAAGTCGAGCGCATTATTTTTGGGCACTGCGTTACCTGTTCGCCTCCTGTTACCTGTTCGTTATTTCCAAACTCTATTACTTGTTTTGGTTTGCTGAAAATCATGCGCAACAGACCCTGAGTGTCGAAGCTTTGTCGTTGTATTACATGAAAAATGGCTAACTTTGATACTGACAAAACTTGACGCAACCAGATTTAATGCAAATTACACTAAAATTATATACCAACATAAAGAATACTTGAAGGAAAAAAGCGATTATGTTGTGCACTTGAGTATTTCCAGTGTTTTGTTACACAATTTCCTGAACAGTTATTCTTGCAGCATTTTGCTGACGTTTTACGATCTTTTGTTAAGCAGTCTGTTGCCCGTATTTGGGAAATCCTTACGTATAAACATCCCATCGCGTTTGAAATTTCGAAAGTTAGTGTTTTCTATTCTTCGTGAATGGTGTTTCACTTTCCACAAGCTTGTCATAGTTGATACAGTATCTCTTGGCTTGTGGTGCCAAATTACTTCCATTGTACGTAAGCTATTGACCTGGTACTTTTCAGTTAAACTTGGATAGGAAATAATAATGAGCCCATTGTTGTTGGCTTGATCATTTGAAGAATCGAGTAGCGTTGTCGCTTGTATATCACGTATAAATTGAGTCGGGATAGATTGTGCTTGTCTTGATCGTTCATCGCATCTAACTGGAAGGTTGAGCTCATAAGTTTTGTCTGTGTTAATTTAGCCTTCCGAATGAAGTGCAAATGAAGAGCACTAAGAGTAAATCAAGTCAAAGAACACGCTAAATTGTTCTTGTATTTTGAATTCCCAAAAGTCAGTTAAAAATGTACCTAAAACAGACGAAAAAGAGCCCTAGGAAGCGAAGCAACGCCATGCATACTTCATCAACTTTGCTTGGACAGAATTTTACATCTACAGCCAGCGTGACACAGATCCCTGACTGAGAGTTCCAGCGATTGCCAAAATTGATCATAAGAAAGTCAGTTTGTTACAACCCGTGAGATAGTTTTTGTAGACAATACTAATATAGATATTTTTTCTTTATTTTTTTTCTGGATTTGAGCANGATAAGCCGTCGTTGAACTCGAAACTGTTGTCACCGATTTTTCACAGAACCTCTCTGAAACGGAAACTGTTGTCAATTCCTAAAGTAATGTGATCCTGAGTGAAAAGAAACCTGCTATTGCCTCGCATGGCAATAACGCTTCGAACATAAGGCTTCAGCTCATTAAATGCTTGCCATATTGGAAACTGAGAATTATTCTCAGGCAGCCTAGGTTACCTTGGTGCCAAGAAAATTGCAGTGCTCTTCACTGAAAGAAAATCATAGTCATTTAGATAATGAGACAATTTCGTTGCATTATATGGTCCACAACAATAAAACCAAAACAGTTGGAGCATTGGCTTCTGCCTGAAAAATTGTCATTCTATGAACGAAGCAGCAGATATACCTATTTGATGTGGGTCTCCTAAATGAAGAATGAATGGCGCTCGAGCTGATCAAGATTCTGACCAGCTTCTCGCAGCCAAACGGTTGCGGTTAAACTACTCCCCAAGGAGTCGTGTGTTTTCGAGTCCCGCGTGTTTTCTGAAGTTTGCACTAGTGTTTTTTAATGAAAATCAAACAGCTGTGAAGTGCTTTGATAAGCTTCACCTACAGGCCGACAGCTGTGTCAAATACGCCCTCTCTGTATAATAACAGCTTGCCGATTTTATGAAAGTTGTGACTGTTATTGCCTAAATAAAACTTCTGTTTAAACTTCCACGTTGAGTTTATAACAACAACGAAATATTCTCCTTTACTTCCTCAAAAATTGCGAGTGTGCCGGAAAAAATGTTTCAGATTCTGGGGTCGTAAATTGCCATAACTAGTCATAACTCTGTGCTGTTCATCACCTGTGCGCAACCACCTGGAACTTATGCGTTGTTCATCCGAAACTTGTTCTGGATTCTGGCTATTTACACATCATAAGAAGAAAGGTAATATCGGGCAGATGCAATGCTCACGGTGTTACATAAGAAGAGAATTAAAGACATTATTTGCTGGCACTTTTATTTTTCATAAACTTGGGAAAAAGCGCTCACTTATTTGTCTGCATTTTTCTCATTTCAGCTGCGTACACCAATCCACGTAAGCCACACATGATTTGGGACACAATAAAAAAATTCAGAAATGCCTCACATCGTTTTACATAGAACAGGGTATCAGCTTCCCCAGCTTTTTAGGAAGGAATCATTTACACACTATTTGGCTACTTCTACCACTGTTGTACCCTGTATCTCATAGCGGCAAAGGTGGCTTTTGAAAACCACGCTAGATTTGGACAAATGGGATTGTGCCTGCATTCAAAGTAGTATAAACCATAGGGTTTCTCGATGCCTTTTTGATATATGGCCTTATTGAAGATTGTCTTCAACATAACCAGATGCTCAGCCAGTTTGATAGGAGATAGGACGCAAAAAATTAAAAATAGCACTTTTGCTAAATGACGCTCCTATCGTTGCCTGCGTTAAGCATTATCCTATCTGCTGCAACAGATAAGTGACGAGCACATTTAGGAGAACGGGTCGAGCGATTTATTCAGCTGCACTTCAAGACAACTGTCACATTCATCTGAAGCAAACGCTTTAACTGGATAATTTCAACACTAATTCTACACATATCATTGGTGCCTAAAGTTTACAGATGGCCATCTATGCATCCACTCAGGTTTAATGTCATGCTGATTGTTTTCCATCTCGATCGGTTTTGAATGGAGTTTTGCAAAAATTGCTAACATTCTCGAGTACACACTCAAGCAATTATCTAACCAGATCATGATTATGATGCTCAGTGATTTCCGTACGCTCTTAGCAATTTAGCCGAGCTCGAGATTAATTAGAGGCACCACATTAACTCAGTGTGATATGCTAACGCACACACATTGATCGACTTCGACCAACTCACAGCCACAACAACCAGGGCTACGGCAGGTAAGTCGAGCGCATTATTTTTGGGCACTGCGTTACCTGTTCGCCTCCTGTTACCTGTTCGTTATTTCCAAACTCTATTACTTGTTTTGGTTTGATGCTGAAAATTATGCGCAACAGACCCTGAGTGTCGAAACTTTGTCGTTGTTTTACATGAAAAATGGCTAACTTTGACACTGACAAAACTTGATGCAACCAGATTTATTGCAAATTACACTAAAATTATATACCAACATAAAGAATACTTGAAGGAAAAAAGCGATTATGTTGTGCACTTGAGTATTTCCAGTGTTTTGTTACACAATTTCCTGAACAGTTATTCTTGCAGCATTTTGCTGACGTTTTACGATCTTTTGTTAAGCAGTCTGTTGCCCGTATTTGGGAAATCCTTACGTATAAACATCCCATCGCGTTTGAAATTTCGAAAGTTAGTGTTTTCTATTCTTCGTGAATGGTGTTTCACTTTCCACAAGCTTGTCATAGTTGATACAGTATCTCTTGGCTTGTGGTGCCAAATTACTTCCATTGTACGTAAGCTATTGACCTGGTACTTTTCAGTTAAACTTGGATAGGAAATAATAATGAGCCCATTGTTGTTGGCTTGATCATTTGCAGAACCGAGTAGCGTTATCGCTTGTATATCACGTATAAATTAAGTCGGGATAGATTGTGCTTGTCTTGGTCGTTCATCGCATTTAACTGGAAGGTTGAGCTCGTAAGTTTTGTCTGTGCTAATTTAGCCTTCCGGATGAAGTGCAAATGAAGAGCACTAAAAGTAAATCAAGTCAAAGACACGCTAAATTGTTTTCGCATTTTGAATTCCCAAAAGTCAGTTAAAAATGTACCTAAAACAGACGAAAAAGAGCCCTAGGAAGCGAAGCAACGCCATGCATACTTCATCAACTTTGCTTGGACAGAATTTTACAGCAAGTGTGACACAGATCCTTGACTGGGAGTTCCAGCGATTGCCACAATTGATCGTAAGAAGGTCAGTTTGTTACAACCCGTGAGATACTTTTTGTAGACACTACCAATAAAGATCTTTCTTTCTTTATTTTTTTTCTGGATTTGAGCAAATTGTAAGGATATGCTGCGCCGGTTTGGGTACTAAACGCAACAATTTGGGATCAATATAAACCATACTGAATGCGATCGATGGGCAAACTTGCACAGATTGGCAGAAAGCCACCAGTAGGCCTAAGCACGATGGCATAAAGAGAGAATCGATATCAGTCACTGAGGTACAGAAGTCGTGAAACAGCCGCTTCAGGTTTCTAAGTAAAGCAGACTCCATACTAGATATGCCATCATGTAAGTAAATCCGAAAGTTATTCGGGTATGTAACGTCTATGTGACCGCCACTTAAGATCTCACCGCAAACGAATGCCGCTTACTTTATCACATGTTAAGTCTAAGCACTGGATACGATGAGCGCTGCACACTGTAATAGGTATGCTCCTTGAATAAAAGCTGAAGTTAAGTGGCTTTCACAAATTTTCAGCATAAAAACGGTTAATTTAATTTTTGGTGGTTTAGATGGGCTTCCGTTTGGGTGGTTGCGCGCTGCCGAAATTGATTAATTTCCTTGGATGCCCGTCGAAAATGAGTTTACTTTTATAGACCTTTGCTTCCCGTAGTATGGATATTTTCATGCGTTCTTAGACCAGATTAGTGCGGAAACAGATCTTGAAGGAGAACTGGATAGCAATTTTCAGTAGTCAACTGCGATGTTCAAGTGATATTTACAATTGTAAACAAGTAAGCTAGTTTCGATAGAAACTCAATATCCTACAGGACTGCCTGCATTTTTGGCGGGGAACGTTGTTTTGTTATACTTAAACACAAGGTTGCATACCTTCCAAACATGATTTCGGTGCTCATAAGTGCCAGAACCGTTTGGCGCAAAGAAGTTAGGGAAGGCCCACAGCAAACCCGTGTTCGGCCTGTGGAAATAACAAAACCTAAGCGATGAGGCCAGCACCGCTGGTGTACTAGTGTCACGTAGCTACCGATAACTCACTGGTCGAACAATCCTCCAAAACAAACACTCGAGCGCCGCCACCTGGCATCTGAGTCTCAAGAAGGGAGGAAACGTTTGTAGGCTACCCGCAGCTTTCAACGCCCATACCGGCGGTGTGAAAACCTATCTGAATTTTACATCGCAAGCATTTTTGTAGTCCGTGTCCCATTTTCCGCGATTTTATTGCATCTTGCTTGATGCACGTATTGATGGGCTACACTTTGTCTGAGGGATGGCCCAAATAGGAAGGTTTGGTTAGTACCGGACAGATTATGCGTTCGTACATGTGCGGAAACACAGAGGACAGTGAAGTTGCAAGTACAATATACAACGGATAACGCCAGGAAACTAAAGCAACTTTCCATTTAAAAATATGTGCTATGATAGATAATGTTAAAACAACCCAAGACTATGTCCACTTATCCGCATAGAGACATTACGTGGATCTTCCTTTCTTACTGCCTCATCCCGTTCCCTGGTGGTTTGGGACCAGCCGTTTAACTGAACTAAACTCTGTGTGTGAACAGGGTGCCGAGGACAAGTTGGGATGATGATTGACTGAACATTAATTGAAGCTCCTTGTAACCAAGATTAGCAAAACAAATGGCTTAGAACCCATAAGATAATCCTTCCGGCGTTGAACAATTGGATCCCTTTTGAGTATTGTTCTGCTATGTTGCTATGCAGGCCACATTTCCCAAGTGCATTATTAAGAGGAAAACACGGTTGTGTTGGCATAACTTTTCCTACAACGGAGGAAATATTCTGGCTTCTTAACTGCTAATGCATTTCCGAAGCGACAAAAGAGACCCTTCTTCACTTTTTCTCCCGGTACAGCGACGACCACAGCAAGTGAGTTCTTATCAAAAAGATTCCACAAACAGCACAGGCAAGTGACAAGAGATTAACCAAGAAAATATTGAGCGGTTACATCTAAATTTCACAATACATCCCTTTATTTTGTGCTGAAATTGATCGGTTTGAATCAGAATTGGAATGCTAGAATAAAAAACCGATCAGATGTGAAAATTATTGAGAAGAATTCCAAATGTTACTCAAACCTGCATTTACAAGCAAGAAAATGCACATAAGCGTGGCAAAATCTGTCGGGAGGAGTTGTGAAGGTTTACCTCTGAAACGGTATGCATCCATATGCGACTGTATGGCTTATTTGCATAGATCTGCTGCGAAACTTAGTCGATTACTACTATGATATCGGTTTTGCATCCTTGATTAATGAAAGGAAAATAAATGACGCAGTACTGTCTGGACTTGCGTGGATGTCAATAATATTTATTCCTCCCTGAGGAAAACTACCAAAATATCAAACCCGATCGCACACAGACGCCAGTATTGTCTCATCGATGTTTCGTCGAGTCAGAGCACTGTGCAGTACAATGTGACAGTAACACCCGTGGCATTTTGTGGACACCAATAATATTTATTCATCACTGAGGAGAAACACCAACATTTAACCCCGGCCGTGGCTGTAATGCTGGATAAATATCACGTCTGCTATACGTTCCTCATTTTTATGAGCTAAAGCTGAGTTAGGAATAATTAAACTGTACTAAACCGTTGACGGGTTTTAACATTCTGGAATGTATAACCCTACGGTCACCACGTTGTGTACAGATTACGCTTTTCTACAAGGGTTTCCATTAACCCGCTGCTAGCTTTTGTAGCGTGGTACATTTTTCAAACAGACTGCTAATTTAGGAACGATTTCGGCCACAGGAGAAAGGCTTGAATTTTTCAGTTAGGAAAAGGTGATAAGGGCGGAAGAAATATTCCCTAGCGTTGAATGCGTCACCTGAAGCGGATAAGCTACGGGGATAGTTGGTCACAATCTTAAGCCAGGAGCTCCAAAAACTACACCATCAGAGAGAAGAGCGTTAAACACCGCGAAACAGGTGGACAACAGAGTGCTTACAAAGGTGAATAAGCGTAAGGCCACTGTTGTCCTGAAAAAGAGTGATTATCTACAGCTCAAGCAACATCAACTGAGGGTCCCACCGGGTGAATAGGAGTGAGCATAGGTTGGCAGATATTTGCGATCCGTGATAAACCACTTGGGGCGAGGTAACTGGTATCGATTGTACCCTAAAGGTGCAACTCAACATACCTTCACGGCCTTCTAAAATTCATAAACCAGATGTCCCGGTGAGACCGATGGTAGACGGAATGGGTTATTCACCGCATGAGCTGGCCAGATTCTTGACTGGTGCTTTAAAACCCATTCCCGGGTAATTTAGCACTTACGTCAAGAATTCATATGACTTTGCCAACATTGTAGTGGGGGTCACTGTTGAACCAGATGACATCCTTGTAAGTTTCGATGTCAGTTCATCATATACAAACATGTCAAATTGGACCCTTTGGAGATGGTTAAGCGACTGCTACTAGCAGAAACCAAACAGTCAGAACAGACCCAGCTTACGGTGGATGAAATAGTTGAAGGCTTAAATCGTGCCTGAAGCTCACCCACTTCGTTTTCGACTCGTGGTTTACGATCAAGAACAAGTTCCAGATATTGGATCTTTAATATTTCCGGTATTGGCAGATATATTTATGGAAGAATTTGAACAGAAAGCTCTAAGCGGATTCTTATACCCACCCAAGGTATTCTGGCATTATGTGGATGATACTTCCGTCGTGATGAAACCAGACAAGATAAGCGAGTTTTACAAATATCTGAATGAGTTGAGTCCCCACATGACATTGAGTAAAGAGATAGAGTCCACTTCGGATACACTGGCATTTTCAGACTGCATGACACAAAGTCAGGGAAAACTAAAGACTACAATATACGAGAAGCCAACTGACACAGGGGAAGTTTTGAACTGCTCGTCTGTCCATCTGAAATCGGTATTCGCTAACACTGCTTTATCAATGTTTAAGTGTGTAAGGGCCCTGTGCACAGAAGAGGTCGATCGGACAATGGCCCGAATTGAAGAAAAGAGCAAACTCCGGGGTAGTGAATATCCAGTTAGTTTGATTAGGCATCGATGACGAAGGGTGCTGGTACCGTTGGCGAAACTCAATCTTGAATAGCTTGGACGGGATATCGGAGGTCATTCGAAGGATACTAGACGTAGTTGACATAAGAGTAGCTTTCCAGAGGGAAACACTCTGAGTTCTGCTCTGGTTCATTCGAAGGATTGCCTCTCGGCGAACAGAACCATGGACTGTATCTACAAAATCAAGTGCGACCACTGCATTATGGTCTATTTAAGCATAGTACCAGGGAGGTTCACTCCACAATCGGACAGCGTAAGAGGAGAATAAACAGGCAACATGAATCTCAGGTGAATATCAAGCATTACCAAAATGCTCGGCAACTGCGGAATATGCACTGGACATGGGTACAAGAGATTTAGAAAATGTCGAGGTTTTGGGGCGAAGACTATCTTTCAAGTCACAAAGGCTGATGGCTGAGGCGGTAGAAATCGCGAAGCATCTCCGTGTTAACAGAATAGAAGGCACTGAACTGGCAAGCTTGTAGAGTACGGTTTTGGATTAGTCGAACCGGCACGTGTGATGTGCGGTCATCAGCAGTAGTTATCATCTGAATTCTACTTTACCTCATCCCCCTTAACTAAACTGTCGCAACACCCACAGCCCCACAAAGATCAAGTTAAATCTACCAGTGACAGCCGAGGTGAATCATCAGTTGAGGCACCCTGAAGTGGAAGATTAAAAAACCAAACCCAATTAGAATTAATTTGAAACTCCTACAATCCACAAACGCAAGATTTTGACAACCATACTAATCGACAACAGCCGTTAATTGACACTGAAGACTGATCTAGTGTGATAACCGGAAGAGGATTCATTGATTGGTTCCCCGGTTGCCTTATGACCTGGCCAACTTGGTGACCTGCTCTCTTAGTCTGATCAAGCCTTTGTCAAATGCGAAACGTTTGTTAAATAAAAAACTACCGATTGTTTACCAAGCCCTTCTGAAACATGAGCGTTCGGTCAAAGTCACCCGAGGATGATAGGTTTTATATGAGGTGAAATTATTAGGCACCCTCCTTGAGAGTAATACAATGGCGCTCATTACCAAGGCTTTGATGACATGCATCCAGGGTGGCTACCGGAAGATTTTGTTGATGCGATAATAAGCAAGATCGGGATGTTCTCGCTGGTTCATTTGATTGCAAATGAGAATGTTTTTCCTGTGCGCAGAGGAGACAAATTTTGATCTGAGTGGACGCAAGAGGGACTAAAATTAAGCACGTTTGCCTTATCTTGATATTATGATAACGTCTTTCTAAGTTGAAAATTTTGCTTGTTGTTTCCCACCCACAGCCACCACCAGGCCGCGTAAGTCGTGTTTTTGCTACCAAAAAATTCAAAAAGCAACCAAAATAAAACTGCAGGAGGCCCAATAATAGCATACTAGTTGACCATGCTCGCGATTTCGTAAGAAGAAGTCAGGGAAAACTAAAGACTACAATATACGAGAAGCCAACTGACACAGGGGAAGTTTTGAACTGCTCGTCTGTCCATCTGAAATCGGTATTCGCTAACACTGCTTTATCAATGTTTAAGTGTGTAAGGGCCCTGTGCACAGAAGAGGTCGATCGGACAATGGCCCGAATTGAAGAAAAGAGCAAACTCCGGGGTAGTGAATATCCAGTTAGTTTGATTAGGCATCGATGACGAAGGGTGCTGGTACCGTTGGCGAAACTCAATCTTGAATAGCTTGGACGGGATATCGGAGGTCATTCGAAGGATACTAGACGTAGTTGACATAAGAGTAGCTTTCCAGAGGGAAACACTCTGAGTTCTGCTCTGGTTCATTCGAAGGATTGCCTCTCGGCGAACAGAACCATGGACTGTATCTACAAAATCAAGTGCGACCACTGCATTATGGTCTATTTAAGCATAGTACCAGGGAGGTTCACTCCACAATCG